GCCAAGTATAAACACTAAATTTATAAATGAAATGTAAACAAAACTATAAGATTAATGAAACAAACTTAGGGTGATGGGTGATGTTGTTTTACTGAAACTAAATCTTTCTTTGCATAGCGAATATGCTATTGTCTGCCGTGGCGCAGGTGTGCGGTGAAAACATACTATATATGGTATATTAGGATGACTCAGTTCCTACACCACTCTTCTGTGCTTGAATACTGCAGAGCTTTCCTTCTTAAATCCCAGGTTAAGTAGTTTGGCTTTCATTTGGCATACGTGTGTCATATACCTTATAAATCCCTTCTGTGCCTTTTTCTTTAGCTTGTCCTAATTCTCATACCACTGATTTTGGATATGAGGTGGTTATCCAGATGATCTAGAATATACTTTAAAAAATATTATCAAATGAAAATAAACCTTTCAAACCTTCATTCAATAGAACACGTGGCTTATAGCCACTGCTCCCAGTTTAGTTTGAGAAATATAATTCTGTACCTAGTTTCTGAGTTGGTGTTTGATTTTAGAAATCAAAGCACAAATCTAAATGGTGTAATTAACCAGTTAGTGCTGGTGGTAAGCTGTAGGTACGAAAGTACAGTTGACCCTCGAACAATGTGGGGATTAGGGGTGCTGACCCTCCAGCAGTTGAAAATTCACATATGAGTTTTGAATCCCCCAAAACTGAACTACTAATAGCCTACTATTGACCGGAAGCCTTACCAGTAACATAAACAGTTGATTAACACATATTTTGTATGTTACATTTATTATATACTATATTCTTACAATAAAGTAAACTAGAGAAAAGAAAATGTTATTAAGAAAATCGTAAAGAAGAAAAATTATATTTATTGTTCCTTGAGTGGAAATAGATCGTCATAAAGGTCCTCATCCTGGTCATCTTCACATTAGTAGGCCGAGGAAGAGGAAGAGGAGGGGTTGGTCTGTCTGTCTCAGGGATGGCAGAGGCAGAAGATGGGGGGGACACGAATGGGCACTTAGGAGAGGCAGGCACACTTGGTGTAACTTTACAGAAATGCATTGTGTTTGCTGTCTGACTTAGTCCTTTTTTATTTCTCTAAAAATGTTTCTAGATAGCACCAACCCTTCTTCCCCCGTTTGCTTTCGTTTTAGTGCCCATGTCATAGAAGGGTCCAGGCTGTAAGCCAAGTCAAAAGGAGTCTTTATTGGAACCTTCCGCCAGATTGTCTAATGCCAATTTGCTTTCTGGCACTGCTGCTTCTGTGTCTCCTGCCTCCTCGTCTGGCCCTGGTTTGGAAGGACTCATCTCCATCAAGTCATCTGTCTATTGGCTCTTGAATTTCCTCAAGATCTGTGTCTGGAAAGCTTTCATCCCCACTTTTTTCCACATCCACAATCTCTTTCATGACGTCCTTGATCGGCCCTGGTGTAAATCCTATAAAGTCATGTACAACATCTGGACACAGTTCTCTCCAGCAGGCACTTACTGTTTTGGGCTTGATAGCTTCACAGCTTTTTCTGTAACAACAATGGCATCTTCAAAATCTTTCCAGACTTTTATGATGTTCTCTCTATTTGGGTTCTCTTCCATAGTGTCGAACACCCTTTTCATAGGGTACAGTGTGCAGTGAGCGCTACAGGTCCTTATCACCCCTGATCTAGAGGCTGAATTGGAGACGTTGTATTGGGGCAAATAGACCACTCTGATGCCTTCAGTGTTGAATTCATGAGGTTCTAGGGGGTCAGGGACATTGTCCAATATCAAAAGAATTTTAAAAGGCAACTGGCAAGGTAGTTCCTGACTTAAGGGGCAAAGCGTGGATGGTACCACTCCAGAAAAAGAGTTCTTGTTGTCCAGGCCTTGTTGTACAATCAAAAGACTGGCAGCGTCTGTTTATGTTTTCCCTTCAAGGCTGGGGATTAGCAGCTTTATAGATAAGAGCAGTCCTGTTCATAAACCTGACTGCATTTGCACAAAGCGGTAGAGTTAGCCTATTCCTTCTTGCCTTAAATCTTGGGTGCTCACTTCTCTTCCTTACTAATATATGTCCTTTGTGGCATTTTTTTCAGAATAGGACACTTTGGTCTGCATTAAAAACCAATTCAGGCAGATATCCTTTCTCCTCAGTGATTCTCTTTATGGCCTCTGGGAGCCTGTCTGCTGCCTCTTGGTCAGCAGAAGCTGCTTTTCCTGTTATCTTGACATTTTTAAAGCCAAACCTCTTTCTAAAATTATCAAACCATCCTTTGCTGGCATTAAATTCTCCAGCTTTAGATTCTTCACCTTTCTTTAGCTTTAAGTTGTCATATAATGACTTCACTTTTTCTTGA